GCCAAATGGGTAGGGCAGCATGTCCTGCCCGATGCTTAGCCCTGCTCATGAAATGCCCAGCCCAAAGATGCCCATTCTTTTTTGAGCTCGGGCAGGCTCAGTGGGCATTTGGGCTTAATGCACACCCCTAATAAAAATAATACTAATTTCTGCTAAAACTTAAGTTAATATAAACAGTTTTTTAGCACTTGTTATTTTCTATGCTAGACTTGTCATTAGTAACTAAATTATGAAAATAATGGCAATTTTGGCTAAAACTTAAGTTAGTGTAAATAGCTTTTCAACAGTTATTATTTCACATACGAGACTTGTTATTGGTAATTAAATTGTGAAAATAATTCTAATTTCAGCTAAAACTTAAGTTAACATGAATAGCTTTTCAACACTTACTATTTTTCTTGTTAGACTTGTTATTGGCAACTAAATTATGAAAATAATAACAATTTTAGCTAAAACTAAAGTTAATAGGAATAACTTTTCAACACTTGTTATTTCTCATGTTAAACTTGTCATTAGCAACTAAATTATGAAAATAATACCAATTTTAGCTAAAATTGAAGTTAATAGGAATAGCTTTTCAACACTTGTTATTTCTCATATTAGATTTGTTATTGGCAACTAAATTATGAAAATAATGTTAATGTCTGCTAAAACTTAAGTTAATGTGAATAACTTTTTAACACTTATTATTTCCTATGATAACTTGTCATTGGCAACTAAAATTGTAGCAATAAAGCCAATTTGTGTCAAAACTTAAATTAATGTGAGTAGCTTTTCAACACTTATTATTTTTCATACTAGACTTGTCAATTACAACTAAATTAAGAAAATAATGCCAATTTTTACTAGAACTTAATTTAATGCCAATTTTCACAATTTAATTTTTGCTAATGACATAACTTTATTGAGAAATAACAATAATGTCATCACCAATGACAAAAAATCAGTATATGATTGACAGCAATCATTTTTGCAATGCAAACAAAATATTCTTTTCTCTCCCCTTATGATATTCATATAATCAAGTTTGAATTTAGGAGTTATTCCCTTTCTTTCTTGTTCAAGAATAACAAGGGTCTCAACAATTTGATACTTGAATCACAATTCAATGCAAGATTGAATTGAATTAAATAACATGCATTAAATTAGATAACTTGCATACTACTACAATTTTTCTACCATCTCGCCCTTGTGAAATGTAACATCCTTATTTTTATCTAGTATTTAATTAAATTTATAAATAAATATATTTTAGTATTAAGTTAATTAAAAAAGAGTTAGATATAGGCAAATTATTATTATTATTATTTTAATAATGTTTTTGTGTGTGATTGTGTGTGTGTGTGGATGATATTCTAGAAAATTAAACCATGGTATAGAAGTCCCACATCGACTAATCTTTAGAGTGAAAAAGTTTGAGGAGCCTATATATAGGAGATAATGAGTGGAGCTTAAAGTGAATAAATAATTTTCGCACATATCTGAGGTAGTCTTAGAAAAGTGCTAGTTTTGAGTTTATTAACCGTTGGATCGAATTGAAATTTGGTCAGCCCATTTGAGACATCCAAATCGTTAATTTCAACGGTTAGATCATCATTTTGATCTCCGAGTTACAAGTTATTAGGTACGTTTTTAACTTATATCTTTTGGTATTTAGCAGATAGAGTCCTGAATAGTAAATTAGCATTTTAAAGTTCATTCACCGTTAGATTGAGCTATAATTTAGAGGATAGTATCATGATAGATAGGAAATTAAATTCAACAATTAGATTTAAGGGTTTAACTTCTGTAGTGAGAATAACCTGGTTCGTACTAAGTCTATTTGTCTAAGTCCTTCGAAAATGGAATATAAGTTATAAATTTACAGTTTGTCTATTTACATGATGAATTTGGTGATTCTAATAATATAATCTAATAATTAAAGGATATTTAAGTAAGGAAAATTTAGGAGTCGAGTCTAAATCATATATATATATATATGTTCTCATTCCAAACCTTAGAAAAATGTCTTTTAGGCTAGAGTTTTGAGTAAAATTAAAGCTTTTAGAGGAGGATTTAGAGGCTAAAATTTTGTGAGTCGCAAACTCTAATATTATAGAGATAATATTTTAATTTTGTTTGTAGATATAAACTCTATTGTGGCATTTTTGAAGTTGGACTCTGGTTGTAGTTGACTGTTAGCTAGGAGACTAGGTAACTAAATTTCTATATGTTGCATGCTCTAGTATGAAGTTGGTGAGTGGTTTTATAACTAATTCTATAAAAGTATATTACGTTTTGTATGAACTGTCTTGTGTGATGCTATTTTAAAGAGGATTGACATAGTTTGTATTGCAAGAAATTGGTGATCATGATTATGATGTGTTATTATGAAATTCTGTTGATTATGTATATAAATGTATCATTTTAAACCTTGTGCATCTATTTTGGATGGGGAAAGGAGATAATTGGAGTTATTGAGATTCATATACTTGCCACGTGGTATTTGCCTCCATATGGAGCTCTATGGTTGGCTGTTATTATTGTCCCACTAGTTCTTCGAGGGACTGCGACACCCCACTAATTCTTCGAGGGGGAACCCATGGTCCACCGAGTGCTCGGTGATCTTTGGCTGGTCCACATCATTCGTGTGGTGAGCTTGTCAGAGTTGCCAGTCAAATGGAAAAAACTTAGCCTATGGGTCCAGTCAGCGGAAATAAGAAGGATATAAGGATGGATTTGGGTTCAGGAATTACATATGACATGAGATATTCATTGATATTTATATCTTTTAAATAAATGACAAGTATGTTATCTCTTTTGAAATGTATCAATTGCATGAGATTGGTGGAAATATTTGTCTTGTATGATTATTGTGAGTTTAAATGTTAAATAAATGTTTATAAACTATTATTAACTCTGTGTATCCCACCTGACACCTCGCTAGCCATGCTAGGGTGTGTGATAGGTAGGGATTTAGTTACTGAGACGTAGTCTCACTCCTGTCGCTTTACCATTTTCAAGAAACAATACGTTAGTGGGACCTTCGGGGAAGACTCCTGAGGCTCAATAGCTGTAGCTGACAATGTAGAACTTCTCGACCTTATTTTATGCAATCTTTTCGTATATTGCCACGCATCAAGAGTGCATTCATTTGGGACTTATTTTACCTTCTCATATTTTTATGTCATTTGACTTAGTGAACGCGTTATACCTTCTATCTTTGGTTTATTTTGTCTGAACATTAGACTAGAGTGCTGATAGTGGGCCCGAAGCCCTTAGATTGCATGTGATTGAATTATTGTGGATCCACGATGTGACAATGGCAATTTTTGCAAGTTTAGTTGTTGCTAGTATTGACTAGATAGTCAAGTCTAAACTGCTATTATAATTTATCATTCAAAGGCGTATTGTTTTATAACCATATTTGCCATGATTACAAATATAGGTTATTCTTTTTCTAACCATGATATCCTTAATTAAGGTCGAATGCTTTTCTATAATGGTTAATCCCTTAATGATGTGATTGCTCTTAAATAATCATGATAGAGTATGTTTACTAGTTTTAGTTCTTTCTATCATGGTTAGTTCTGGTTAGTAAGTGGTGAAGGTTACACTCGCCCTTGTGAAATTTTTGCGTTTGCACATAATAAGCGCACACACACACACATATATATATCTTCACCACATGCTTTACCTAATCGTTTACTTCATAAATTCTCAAACCAATTAAAACTTAATTACATGCTTAGTCCTCTTTGAGGAAGGAAACAAAATGGCACAGCATGGTGGGAGCTTTCTCACAGCTTGGCCTTTGCACATGAAACACATGGCATTCTTCTTTCGTTTCCATCACCTCCACATCCCAGAAAACTTGTTTCTCTGCAACACTTCTTTGTGGTGCCATCTAAAATGAATTTTATATAAATTAATCGGTTAACACTTAATATTACAAAGGAGACCATTAACTGGGAAGAAGGAAAGGGAATGAAAAAATAAAAATCAAACCAGAGAAGAGAAAAAGCAAAATAAAAGCCAAAGGAGGAGGAGGAGAAAGAAGTATTTTAGGGGGTGTTTGGGTATCATCCAAAACTATGGTTTGGGGACCCAAACCATGGTTTGGAAAAAAATTGCCCAAACACCCATCAGAAATCAAAAACCATAGTTTTGGATTAAAATCATGATTTTGGCTCAAAAACCATAGTTTTGTAAGAAGCATTTTGAATCTGCTTCTAGAAAAAAAATGGGAGAGTGTCAGCTGGTTTTAGGGAGAAGCATTTTGACCAGACACATACCCCTTCGCTCCTTCACTGTTCACTATTCAAAGGTAGTACATTGTTTTTTTTTTAGCAAAAAAGAGGTAGTACTTTGTTATTTATTGTTTTTTCTGTTTTTTTTATTCACTTCTTTTCTGTTTACAAAAATTATTTATCTTTTTCAAAAATATTTTTAATCTTATATTTTATATTAAAGATGAGAGGTAGTTTGTTATAAAAATTAGTTATGAAAAAATGTTATAGAATTTTATGTTTAAAATCTTTAAAGCAAATTAATATTTTTCTGTTAGAAAAAAATAATCATTTTTCTATAAACATATTTAATTTTATAATTTATAAATATATATACACATATTGATTAATTATTAATTATATTATCTTATATATTATTAATTATGTTGGTAAAAATTATTTTATTAACAATTTTATTTTTTCAAATTAAAATATATTATAAAATCTATCCCTTATATAATTATCATATTTACATATGTCTTTTTTAGTAATTTACACATGTAAAAAGTACTTCTGGTAACAATTATCCAAACATTCTCATTTCTCATAATTACTTTTTATAAGGGGATGTTTCGCTTGGTTTCGTTTTGCCCTCATATTTTATAATTACAATTTAAGACCTGAACTTCTCAAGTAATATGGTGAATTTAGGAACGATTTCGTAATTTCATGGTTTAAAAGTTTCAGCTCCTCCCATTGCTATCAAACGACCCCGTTTGGAATGGCTGAATTTGAAACCTGAGCCCCGAGTTGGAGCAGAATCGTTGGACCTCCGACATCAGTGTTCATCATCGTCTTCGTCGGAGTGGGCGGAGCCAGATGAAAGAGCGGCGTGAGGACCGAAGGAACTCCGTTGCCGTCTCTGTCTTCTGCTCTTCTTCTTCATGAGCTCAACGAGGTTTGGATTGGAGGAAGGCAGCCATCACCATCATCGGATAATGAGGGAGGAAGCGAGCTGACCCAGTTGGAGTCTTCTTCAACGGAGATGCCGCGAGTTGGACTGGAAGACGAGTTGAAGGAGGACGCCATCGGAGATTAGAGGAGAGAGGGAGGAAGACGCTACTGGAAACAGAGTCGTTGAGAGACGCAAGCTGAACAAAGGAGGAGCTGAGGACGTCGTCGTTGTTGTTTCCTTCTTCGTGGTTTGTTTCTCAACTTTCTTTACAACTTCGTCATCTCCGCTTTATTTCAGTTCTTAATTTTCTTTATGCTTTTTGAATCTGAATTTTATTTGTGCTGTGCTGAACATGTTTATATTGTTTATTGCTGCATGATTGGCCAACATTGATTAGCAAACAATAGATGACTTTCACTAGTCTTCGTCATGATAAATCTTCAGTTCTTTACATATATAGTCATTTATTTTCCTTCCCTTTTGTTCCTCTACTTGCTTCGTGAAATTGAACGCTATGTTTTCTTTATAATCATTCTTTTCTCAGTGTAATCTTACAGGATTTCAATTGGTAGGCTCAGACAAGAAAACCGTGCAAGCAGGCAAGGCAAGGGAATGTTGCTATGGCTGTACCTATTCTGGTTTGTGAGTAGTTATCTATACTTTTCTAGTTCAAAGTGTCATCTCCTATCTATTTTAGGGAATTCGTTGTGAATAATTTCTATTAGTAATGTGTATGTTGCAGTTAAAGAACCTGAACTATTTCGTCAAGATCCATGTGATGATATCAGAATGTTTACTATCACCGAAATTCCTCTACTTGGCTTCAGCAGCACTTTCAGTTTCACTTTCTGATCTGAAGTGTCTATGGGCTTTGTCAGTGTTGATTTGTCCTGTATTTTGCTGGGCTTGTTTGGCCGCATGCCTGTACTCAAGATACTAGCTTTCTGTGAAAAGAGTAGCATTTCTTAAACTTAAGTTCTTCTTTTAGTTATAGTATTTGGAAATTCTGTTAAGTATGATGTTTTTGAAGACCTCAAGGGTTTTGAAGAATCGGACTGTGCTGCTCCCTTCAAACTCATCCTTCACATCCAACCATGAAATTGTTCAGAAGATTGCCTATACCCTTAATAATCCAGGTTCTAATTATTCTCAACGAGCTACAGAACTGCATTGTTTCTGCTCATTCATCAACCCCCATGTTACTCATCCTGTTCTCTCAAACCGTTGCTTATCACCTCAATCATCCTTGGCATTTTACAACTTGAAAGCAAACTACTCCCTTGGTTCCTGTAAGCCTGACATTCAAGATTATGCATGCCTCATTTCTAGACTCTACCATGCTCAAAAGTTTGCGGAAATGAAGAATATTTTGAGTTGTATTGTGACTGATAAGAAGCTTTGTTGCCCTGTTTCGGATTTCCTTGCTTTCTTTGATAAAAGAGATCACCACTTCTTCTTAAAGTTGTGTGATATGTTATTCAGGGTATATTCAGATAATAGAATGTTTGAGGAGGCTTTTGTAGTCTATGATTATATGGAAGAAAATGGGTTGGTGATAGAGGAGAGATCCTGTTTTGTGCTTTTACTTGCTTTGAAAAAGTGTAATGAGACGGACCTATTGACGAGATTCTTTAGGAAGATGGTTGAGTTAGGTAGGGTTGAAATCAAAGTTCAATCTTTGACACTTGTAATTGATGTTTTATGTCTGAAAAGGGAAGTTGAAAGAGCTAAGGTTTTGATGGATGAGATGGAAGGTAAAGGCATAGTGAAACCCAATGTTGTCACTTACAATACATTGTTGAAAGCATACATTGCAAGAAAAGATCAAAAGGGTGTTAATGCGATATTGAACTTGATGGAGAAGAGGCAAGTTGTCCATAATTTGACCACTTGTGATCTTTTGATACAGTGGTATGCAAGTTCTGGCAGCATTGAAGAAGCTGAAAAGCTATTCACCAATATGTGCGAAAGAGGGTTAGAACCAGATGTTTATGTGTACACTTCATTGATAAATTGGAATTGTAGAAAAGGAAATCTTAAAAGGGCATTTGCTTTGTTTGATGAATTGAGTGAGAAAAGCATTGTTCCTAATGCTCACACCTACGGGGCCTTAATTAGTGGTGTATGCAAAGCAGGCCAAATGGACGTAGCAGTGATCTTAGTGAAAGAGATGCAAAAGAAGGGTGTTGATGTAAATATAGTAATATTTAATACAATAATTGATGGTTATTGTAAAAGAGGGATGATAGATGAAGCTTTGAGACTCAAAGTTGTCATGGAAAGCAAAGGTTTTGAAGCAGATGTCTTCACCTACACTAGCATTGCTAGTGGGCTGTGTAAATTTAGTAGGTATGAGGAAGCCAAGAGGTTTCTAAGTGAAATGGTTGAAAAAGGACTGACCCCCAATGTGGTAAGTTTCAATATATTGATTGAGATATACTGCAAGGAGGGGGACCTTGCAGAAGCTGAGAGGTTGTTCAGGGATTTGGAAGAGAAGGGAGTGATACCTACTAACTTTTCATATAATACCATTATATATGGTTACAGCAAGAAAGGGAAGATGGAGCAGGCTCATAGGCTAAGATTTGAAATGATCCAAAAGGGTTTAGTGCCGGACGTCTATACATACACATCACTTATACATGGTGAATGTGTTGCTGGCAAGGTAGATGAGGCACTGAAACTTTTCAAGGAAATGTCGTTAAAGGGCATAAAAGGGAATGTTGTGACCTACACAGCAATTATTTCTGGTTTGTCTAAGGAGGGGAGAGAGGAAGAATCCTTCAAATTCTATGATGAGGTGATAAAGTTGGGCTTTATACCTGATGATAGAGTATACACTTCACTTGTTGGCAGCCTTCATAAATCTGGATCTCATGATGCTCCACAACGTTAGATGCATCTTCGGCTGGCTACAATTTTTTTTATTTATTTTTGGGTATTTCCGCAAAAGGTTAAGGATACAGTGCTTAACAGACGTGACATGGATGACATGCTCTTTTGAAGCCCAATTGATAATAACCAGAAAGAAGGAAAATCCAGCTCTCGTGGAATCTCAACTAGAGCTTGAATTCTCAGAATATATAGTCTGTCTAATGTTAGGTAATATACTAACCTTCTTATGTTTGTTTCTTTTATAACTTTCTTTTAAATAATTTTTTTACCTAATTGGTGATGGATTTTTTTTATTTTTAAATCTTTGAAATCATAAATAACGCAAGACACACTTTAGGATGTGCATAATGCTTGGATTTTTCAGCTCTTTGCAGCCCCCACAATCAAGCCAAACTAGCAAACATTTGCTCATTAAACCAAATCACAATCCTTGAAAAATTGAGACCATTTGGGGATTGTTATAGGCTTCTCCTTATTTAAAAAGAATTCACTATTTTACTGGAGTTCAGGTGCATTGTTCCTATGCTTTGATGACAATTTTAGAACGTAGAGTAAGAACACATAAGCGAAAAGAACGGGTAAACAAAAGTATTATTTAATGTGTGTGTGCATGTTACATATCCTTAGCTTAAGCTAGTATACAAATTGTTGTAACTCTATACACTAGTTTGGGTGCATTACAAGTAGCTATTTAGCTTACTTTCTTAATAATTAATTGTACTCTTTTACAGAAGTAAAATATGGTGTAAACAAAATGAAGCTTTTGCCTTCATATTCTTATTTGATACGTGTAAGGTAATTAATCATCCAGTTCCAGTTTGGCTGCGCAATGGGTAACTCCAAAGATGTTGATTCAACATTCTTCTTTTTGAATCACTGTTCTTGCATCAATCTGTCGGCCGTTCACCTTCCTGTCATGCTCTCTTGGTCCTTTTCAGTTATTTGCATTGCAGCTTTCACATTTTTGTCCCAAAATTGTTTGTTACATGTAACTTGTGTGGCTTGAATTTGTTTGTTACCTTAGAAATAAAAAGCTTATGACAATTGCTAAATGCAGATGTCCACGTTTGAATGGTGGTTTGCATGGCATATCTCTCGGATGGCGGAGGAAATTTGCTGCTACTCAAGTTGCCAGATGAGGATATTTTAATAGGTTTGTGATTCAATTATCAAATAAATCAACCAATTTTTTTTTTAGTGGCGTGATTTCTAATTCCTAGTTTTCTGAACTGACTGTTAAATTATGGAGCCATAACTACTCGTGCATCACGAGGTCTGTGGGCCACACATGAATTTCAAGTAGCTATAAAATCCAACTTCTTCATTGCGTCCACTGTTGTTGTAATACGAACGTGTTATAACTTTTATGTTTGTTTTAGTGGATTAGGGAGAAAAGGGATAAGGAAAGACACGAACTGTAGCTACACACCCTTGTTTGGTTTATTTTAGGCTGTTTGTTTTTAGGGATTTGCAAAGTGAGAGGCAACTGAATATGAGAGTATCAAGCTAACTACCCATGAATAATAATCTTCGTCCAGCCTAGATATTTAGGAGGGTATAAGAGATATTTACATGTCATATATTAAAGATTTTCTGCATACTCTTGGGATAAAAAAGAAATAATTATAATCACCTAGTTGGAATATTATAATTGATGCCCTTCAGCGCGGGAATAAAAACTTTCTAAAACAAAATCTGACAATTATAGCATACAATCAAATGAACATAGTCATTGTAAATGGTAATCAAAGAAGAGGAAGGGAGAAATCCAAGCTACCAGGAACAAAATAATTGGTCATAGTCAGAGAAAAAGAGCAACAATATTGGTGAGCAGAAGTAAAAATGATAATAATCATTTCTGCCACAACGAAACCAATTAATTAGTAGTAATCAGAGATTAAAAATACCCTATCTAAGCATGACATACCACCCAAGCATAGCAGCGGCAGATTATCTTCATTACTCATACACTAACTTGGTTTTTATCAGAGAAGAGCAATGGAGGAAAGAAAGCTGCCAGGACATCCAACAATGTCATAAAACAACGAGGTCTCCGTGCAAAAGATGTTCTTGATACCTCAATGTCTTCCAGCGTTTGGTGGCTGCTGAAATATTCTCCTTTCCTAAGCTTTGCAATAGTCCTTAATAACTTTCAATTGAGATGCTGATCTTGAAACCTAATAACTGACGAATTCAATATGAAAGGTCTGAGAAAAAGTGCCAGACACATTTGAAGAATCATTGTAAAAATGAGAAATTCTAATATCATCGTTTACTTCCAAGTATGAACTTTTCCACGTAGAAAAAGGAGTTTTGGTTTTTTTTTTTTTTTGGCTTTACATGTGGCAGTCCAAAATATCTTCCATAACATTAAGGATTTTTGTTCACTAAATGGCTCAATTAATTGAAACTATAAAACTCCGCTAAAAGGAACCTAATCATAATCAGATTGTCACCTTGATCATGACTTCAAATTGGGGTATTGAGTTTTTCAACAAGACGAGCAGAAATTCTACAGCACAATAATCCCTTCCCCAACCTTTTCTTCACCCGCGTGTCCATCATCATCACCAATTCAGCCAACATAGAACAATAAAATGCACTCAAACAAAAGGCAAAATCAAAACTATGAGGAAGGCAGAAGAGGACGTGGAAAACTGAAGGGAAGAAAAGGCTTGGATTTACCGGGTTCTGCCTGAGAAGTACTCTTTGTTGCTATCAACAATTAAATGGAAGAAAATTATGAACAATACAATTTAACTTTCTTGAGTGGATTTACCCAAGTAAGGTATACCCGATAGCATGATTGCTTGAACTACTGCTTCTTACGCTACATGGCAGAGGCGTCGAGTTCACCAAGGTGGCACGGTTGTTTGGGCTACTGGGATCAATGATGCAGATAGAGAGATAGGCAAAAAGAGAAACGAAGATATCGTCCAACCTAGCATTGCCAATAGGCAACAGGAGTAGTAACAGTACAATGTACTTATTGTGCATTTTCCCATTGTGTTTGCCGTTTTGGCATATCCACTTTTTGTCTTCTATCATGGTCGGCATTTTGAAAGCATAATGAATATTGTTTTGAATGAAGAGCAAGGGAGATGATGAAGCGACCGTGAGAGAGGGCAAAAGAGCTGAAGAGAAACCGAGGGAAAGTGGAGATACGTACTTGAATGGGAAGGAAATAAATCTCTCTCTTGATATATTGGAAATGAGACAGATTAAAAGAAAAGGAGAAAGGGTGGAGATATCTTAAAATAAGAAAGAAGAAATCCAAACAAAAAATGAAAGAGGGAGAAGGGATACTGATAAATCAATAAAAATGGAGGGAATTTTAAAATTTGAAATTTAAATTTGGCAAGTATTAGATAATTTTGTGGCAAGCCCCATGCTGGAACTAATCAATAAGGAAGCAATTGTTAGTATGGCTAAATACCTAAGAAGAGTGTGAATTGGGTGATATAAAAATTTTACAAATAATAAAACAAATAGACTCAATTAATACAAATAGAGCATAATGGAGAAGATATCACTTATCGCTTGAATGAAGAGATAGAGAAAATGCATATAGAAATTTATCTTGGTTTGGTTTGCTACTTCACTTATATTTAGTCCTCAGAATATCTATGAGATTTTCAACTATAATTCTTAAGATTCAATAAGCTCTTGGTGCCGTAGTACATCAAAGACCTCAATATTTGAGGCAATTCCTCTACACCAGAGGCAACCTCTTCCATTTGTTTTTCTCTCTTTTCCTTCACTTATCATCATAGTTTCCATCATTCCACCTCTTCTTCCATTTTCATGCATTCTCTCCATGGAAGATGCTTGGATTAGGTTGGGTGCAGCTGTTTCCATGGCTAAACGTGGTTGAAAGCACTTTTCCTTGAAGATGAATGAAGATGGCATGAGTCTAAAAACTTCAAAGGGGAGTGCTTCGTTTTATCCAATATTGAGCTATATAGTTATGATTTCTAGAGTTAGGAATTGTTTCTATATCGCTGAACTTGTGGGATTTAGTTAAATTCTTTTGTTTAGATTAATCTTTGTAATTATGGATTGGCTTTTTGTAGAATTTGTGAGCTTTTATATATATGGTTTCATATATATGTTCTTTATTTTTTTTCATTACTTGTCTTGCTTTCTTGATGGTTGTGAGTGATTTGATATTAATGAAATTAAAGTTAAGAAACAATTGCATTAATCATTTCATAATTGCATTAGAGAAGCTTCATAATGTTTTATAAAATGAGGTTTCATTGAGTAAAACATTAGACCTAAGAGTTGCCTTAGGCTTTTGATTTTGAAAACCTAATGAACTTGCACTCAAATATCATTTTGACGAGGATTGCCATCAATCCCATTTTCAAGGGTTTCTTCAATTATTTTCAACTTGTTTTTCCATCCTCTTTTCCGAGAAATCCAAAATATATTTACCTTCCATTTGATTTCAATTAATAGCTTTAATGACAAACCCAAACCTCTTCCTAGTCAATTTACATTTTCATGGCATTTAGTTAACTTATGGTCAATAATTAGGGGCCCAACAAGTAAGACGACTTGAGGTTGTGTTTATAGTATAATCCTTAGTTTTAATTTTGAATTTGACCCCAAAATACAAGTGAACGGTCATTTCACCAAGTTATTAAGTTTTCACATCTTGAGCCTTGACAAGCAATAATTCAAATTGGTCTTTCTCTTCCTATGAAGCATAGGTCTGTGATCTCTTTATTTAACAATAGGATACTGATTTATATATATATATATATATATCTTCCAAGAGCAAGGTTGTTATATCTTGAATTTTGAGTTTGGACGTATAAGGATTAGCCTAAGATGGGTAGGTTATCAAGTCCTTTTGAGTAGGAGTCTCAGAAATGTGATAAGAAAATTAAAGAGTCTTCAGGGACTAAACTATAAATTTGAGAATTCTATAGGCTAAAGTGTAAATAAATTTAAGGACTCTAGTGAAGTATCAAAGCCCAGGAATGAGAAAAGATGATAGTTTTCAGCCATAGGTTCTGTTCAAGGCCTTAATAAGGTGATTTATAAGGTTTAGCCTAGTCAGGGGTAAAATCATAATTTTAAAAAGTCTCGGACCGAAAAGGGTGAAGACAAAAACTATGACTAAAAATTCCAAAAAAATCTCAAAAAATAAGAAATAGTGTTTTAAGGCCTTTTTGTGAAGCGAAACATCTTACTCAAAAATTCATTTTGAAGCTGAATGCAATAATTGAAATCATGTAGTGTTTATGGTATCACAAAACTCTAATATTTAACAGCATCAAACCCGCATTATCGAAGAAAATCTCTCCCAAATGCTTACTTGAATTGCAAGCTTTAGAGTTCTGTTGACAATGATCAATACAGCTTCCTCTTTGGCAACCGTTTTCTTTTATCAGCACGATGGTTGTGCAACCTTTCCCGGATTATTCCTCAGGCTCAAGATTGCGATAAGTAAAACCAGTTGAGAAAAGAGTGTATGGAGCCCGTGACTAAAGGAAGAAGAACCCCGTTGTCAAGGGAAAAAAAGAAACAGAAAGAAAAAGTATTTTCTCAATGTGACTATTTTCTTGGCATTGCTGGTAGGGCATAATGGTAAGAATAAAAGTCGGCCAAATTATTCCATGTAAATTAATTCAAACATATGTAAATAATTTTTTTTATTTTTACCAAAGGTAATTAAATTTTATTAAGCTAACTAAATGGATTAAAGTGATAAAATTCTTGATTAAATTTTAAACCTGAAATTTACTGTTTATGTATTATAATAATAGAATGCTACTTGAGAACTGACAAAGAAATTGTATGGAACCGGAATACGTGTATAATTAAAACTGCAAAATTTGTTACTCAAACTTATTTGTAATTTGAAAGATCTTATTTTACATCAATCTTTCTACAAGATGTTAAATTATCATTTACTCATAAATTTAATTATTGAAATTTAATAATTTTTAAAAATATAGATTAATATTTACTATTAAAATTTGATACACTTTAAATTGTAATAAAGGTATAATAATAAAGAAAAACGTTGGAAAAATTGCACTCACCAGATTAAAAAACAAGAATAAAAAAAGAAAGTGCACATTAATTAATACATATACTACCTCCGGTCCTAATTATAAGAGCTAATTGACTAATTTGAAGAGATTAAGGAAAGAAGTTAAGTTAGTTATTTGTAATAAATAGGTGTTATCTTTTCTAAAATATCTTTGTTAATCAAATGCATTAGCTAGAACTACCATTGTTAGAAGGACTATCTTGAAAAAAAAATGTATAAATATAAGAGACAAAGTGGATTGGGTCTTATATTTAAGACCAAAATAAAAGTCAAACAAGATCGTATATTAAAGATTAGATGTAATATTTAATAATTCTTCCACATTAATCAGCTCAAAAACCCCTCAAAAATAGCCCTAAACTCATTTGGCTGCTTGTGTGTTAAATTAGTGATAATAAAATTGGTTTTTATTTCATCTAATTTTTGTAAACTTAAATTAGGATAAAAGTGAATGAGTGTAATGTGATTTATGCCAATAAGCTAGAAAGAAATAGTGATAATTCCTTCAAAAAATTGAGGACAAGGGGAAAAAAAAACAGAGAAGTGAGAAGAAAATTGAAAGTCTGTGCGTCTGAAGAAGAGAGAGTAAAAAGTGAAAAATAGATATAACTTGAGAAGAAAAAAATATTGTAGCGTTTGAAATGAAAGATACAGAAAGGTTAAAGGTGGAGGGAATTTCAAAATTTGAAGCTCAAATCTATGCATCCCAGCAAAAGCATTCGAAAAAGTCTGCATGGACCATCAAACATAATAACAAAAGCATACGGCTACAAACTATGAGCTAGTACTGTTTATAGAATAGTAATTTAAATGAAAAGCCACAGTGGAAATAACAATGACTCAGCTTGTCATTTTTTTACTTAATATATTTGTTGATGGACTCAAAATCATCTGGCAACCATGACTTTCAAAGCAAAAAGAATCATATACAAAATGTAGCGGATGGAAACAAACAATAATTAAAGGAGTGTGTGTAATGGCTTTCGGATCATAGTGATAAAAAAGTTATTTAGATAATAGATTTTAAAAGAATAGATTATATGAAAAAAGTGATATTAATAAATTGAAAATGTTTGGCTTGTTGTAATCAGAGTCGCTTTTCCATATTTAAATTACAAAAAAAAAATCTAATGTGATATTTTCATACTAAAATAATAAAAATGATTGTTTTGTATTTTTGAAATAAAATATATTAAAAAATTTAAAAACTATCATACTAAAACGAATAAAAAAT